AATTACAGGCACATGGGACTTGTTAACTTACGTCTCAGGGTGACGGGAGCAGTGGCAGTAACCCTCAGATCTTTACGATTCAAAGCTCTCAGTGGCACTGAACTGCTATGGACAGGCGTGTCGCTCACCATCAGGCGCACGACTTGTTCGTCCCGTCAATTGGTATCATAAACAGAAGTTACAAAAATTTAAAATAAACGTAAATTGTTTTATGTTGTTCGTATTATTTTTATGACTCATGTGATAGAAGCGCTTTTGACGTACAAACAATATTAGTGATAGTTTTATATGCTGTACTAATTTCGTACAGTCCATTTTCCTTTGGCATTCGGATTAAATTTGTCAAAAAAAGGAATGTCTCATGCTATTGTGACGATGCTAAAATAATGTATGGAGTAATAAAATATGGAGTTTCGTGTACAATGCTCGGGAGCTACACGAACCAAGAACCTTAAATAAGGAAGCGACTATTTAGTATTGTTGAAGAATAAACTTAACAATCTTTATCTCCATCCGTTCATTTAAGGATTCAAGTGAATCAATATTACGAACATGTGTCCAACGTAGTCGCTTTTGAATATGTATGGTGCACGTTGGTTGCATGGATAAGAATGCTTTTTGCGTTCAGATTTACTACGTACTATCAGTGAGATCTCGAAAATGAACTAACAATGTGATTTATAGTGTTTGATATTTTAAATATCATCATTACCTACATGCGTTTTGAGCATACGTATGATACTCTCAATAATAAACTGTCTAAATACAAAAAGTGATTTTTGGCGAACTGACAAATAAATAACGTACGTTATTATTATACCCGTGTGTTCATTGTATATTTCTGTATTGTAAGTTTGAATTATTTAACTTTCTCAGTAAGTGAATATGTAATTCTTATGAGAAAAAAATATTTTTTAACGAGATTATTGATACAAAGACCATAAAAAAGGAAAGTTCTTTCGTCCGGCTCATTGACTTACAATTATATGGACGTCGGGTCCGCGCTAAAAAGTGTCCGCACTTGTAAGGCGCTAAAATCGTATACAGAGCGCCAAACTCCGCTTTAGTCTTCATTTGTTCGACTGACAGCGCGATACTGCGATGACATTACAATTTAAATTTCGAATAGGTTGACTTGGGACATTTTTTTCGTGGTTTTTGTATTAGACCCGTCGTCCATTTATTTGTAAGTCAATGGTCCGGCTGGATAAAAATACGAATATCATGGTAATAAACACATGATATTCAATAAAATGAATATTGCAAATAAAGTACGTGCATGATATTTGTTTTAATGATAATCTCAGTACAGAGTACTAAAAAATGGACCTCAAAAGTACGTGGAATTACATATAATTACCATGTTTTATTGAAATCGGTTACCGGGTAGTACCCAAGCCCGGTTTCATCCCCTAGTTCGCTAAAAATTCGATAAAAATCGGTTCTCACTTCTCAAAGTATATCGAGAGAGAAAAACGCCTTGAATTGGAGAATAGCAAAATCAACCATTAAAATAATTGCTGCTTATAATGAAATTTAGGCGCTATTTATAAAAATGAATCTTCATTCGTAAACTCACCCTTAGAGGTGGATGATTTTCTTTAAAATTAAATGGGACCACTTTGGAGATGCCCTCTTTCCAACAAAAAAGAATCATGAAAGTCGGTTCACAAATACCGGAGTTATCGCGTAACAAACATACAAAAAAAAACATACAGTCGAATTGAGAACCTCCTCCTTTTTGTGAAGTCGGTTAAAATATTTGTGCATATCGCACGAAATACTCACCTTTCCTGGAATGACAATTAAATTCTGAAAATAAGTTGAAATTGAAAAAGCGAGAGGTTCGTTTAATGACAGCTTTAGTTTCAAGGTGCAATATTAGTTTTATTTCGTACCTCATTACTTTATTTTACACACACACACACATTGTATCAATTTTTTGTCAACAAAATTATTCGCCACAAAACCAATTCCCTATAGACATCAGTCAGTACACTGGTTTAGAGCAGTTTTCAAATATTAAGCCATTTTATGTACATATTCTCGAAAATACACGCAGTATCTGGTAATTCCCACAAAAAGACTTTAACATCTGTACGTCCGAGATAACGAAGGAAATAACGCTAATAGTTGTGTAATAGTAACGGCTATTATTAGATGGCGGTAAATATTTGTCTACCTCGGCGTCTAATGACAATAATCTGCGTTGCGGTTACACAGCCATGGAAGTGTTCGTGGCTTTTTAAAAAAATAATAGTTTAGTTAGTAATTAATATTATTGTTATTGTTTCGGAAAACAAATATACCTAAAGCACATTTTAGATTGCTTAACGTAATCTCTAAAAGAGCGAGAGATTTGTTTTATTTTTATTCGGTCTTCAAGGCATGTTAACATAGATTTTGAAAGACACTTTTGACGTATGACCTAATGTGGCTTTTTAAAATAAGGGTACGAAATATTAATCACATACATACTCTTGAGTAAAAATTATATTAACAGATAATAATAATAACGCACACACTCAATATAGCCCCGCACTAGGGAAACCCTGTGTCGCGGGTGCCATGGACACACACATAGACAACCACAAATGACACAATCATGATGATAAACTCACGAGAGAAACAAATGTAGGTAAATGTTAAATAAACGTGTACATTTAAAATTTCAAAATATTCACAGCCCCTCTTACACGAGGCAAGTAATTCCAAATAAGCCAAGCTAATTCCGAGTTTACTGTAACCTACGTTTAAAGTTACACTTGTTTGAAGCTAAATCTTCCTTCTCTTAAATTCCAGGAGTCATTGGTGGACTGGGAGCGCGGCCAAATCGGCGTGCAGGCACCAGCGCCAGTCGCAGGCGCACCAGGGCGCAAATGGAGCGCGAGGAATGGAGCGTCTGCGCAGGACACCGCTCCGGACCAATCCGCGCTTGTCACGAACGCTACAGATTCTTGCAAACTGCTGGTTGTAAGTATTACGAAAATTTTAACACGTACACTGTAAAATAGCTAATCGAGAGAAGTACAGTCGACGCCCTAAGATACCTGACCTTTTATAGACTATTTTGGCTCGAGAAAATCAGTGTGAATATAAGTGTTAAACAAACTTAACCGTAAAGTACATTTTCATCACACTTGCTCGTAAACAGTGGCATAACATGCAGGCAAAGTCGGCTGCAATGTGCTGAATTACGCCCACGGACTATGTCAGTACATTACCGCCATAAGGCGGTAATGGATATCTAAAAATTTAATTGCACTATACTTCCCTTGGACGTTAATCTTAAGCAAAAAGTTTTAATTGTCGAAAAATCTGAATTGTTTCATACAAACTTGAAGTATACAAAAAAAACTAAACATTTTTCTAAATAAATTTTATAAATTCAAATTCTGCAGCATTCTTAGTATTTTGAAATTATTTATTTTATATCTTTACCGTCATGACTGTGTTTTTGCCTTTTACAACATTTTAGTTCGAGCTGTATTAATTATACAGGAATAGCTGGCCATCTGTTCATATATAACAACGAAAAACAATAAACCAGGCATTTGCAAAATTTGTGTTGTGAAACGATATTAACTTAATCATACAAGAAATATTTATTACCTTGCAAATGTGGTTTCAAACCTCGAGTCATTGAAGCCCTCAGCCTTAGACTCTCGTTAGTAATTTCTTATTTACTGCCCTTCATACCTACATACAATGTACGTAAAAATGAGGCTTCCATCCCACCGAAAGTCAGGGTGGTAAACTATGGCTAAAACCTTCACTTTAAAAAGCCCGTGCCTACTAGTGGGATCATTAGATCTCAGTTGATTACGATTGAATACTTATTTTTATACATCGTTGATGGTTTACCTATCAGTAGTCGGAAATGACATTTTCCAGAAATAACGTTTGCTCGAATTTTCATAACCTCGAAAGTAATTTTGAAAGGAAAATGTTTTTTTCTTTAAAACGTAACTTAACCTAACCTTTTTTTTTCTTTTTTTTTATTACCGTGAGGAAAATGCGTTATGTGGGACTCTCTCCTGGAGACTATGTCGATCCCCAAGAGTATACCCACTAAAAACATCACGATGTTCCTGCGCGCACCTGGCGCTGGAACCGCGGGGTCCCTTTCAGATGCTACCGCGACTCCGGTGGTGCTGGTCCGCCTTTGGGCGGACCCCTACACCATCCGCCCCTTAATCATGGGGGCGACCTGCACGGAGATACCCCGGTACATTTGGGGCATCTACCGGCGGCAGAGGCCTGTGCAATGAAGGGTCAGGGTTTCCCAACCCCGCACCCACCACCTCTACGAGATCCCGGCGCTGCTGGCTCCAGGTCGGGCACACCTCCAAGGTGTGCCTCGCCGAGTCTGTAGCAGCGCCGCACTCGTGACACTCCGGGGTCACCTCCCTCCGTGTGATCTTGTGCAGGTAGTCACCGAAACAGCCGTGTCCGCGGTGAGTACCTGAACAAGACGGTAGGTGAGGGACCCGTGCCTCCTCTTTCTCCAATTGGCCAGTACAAGGAGCAGCGCCTGGACGGTGCGCTCCCCGTATCTGGCCGATCGGAGTGCCTCCTCCCACCCCGCCTGGACGGTGGTCTTTGCGGCACGCCGAACCCCCACTAGCTCCTCTAGTGTGCGGCGCTCTCCACGTGCCCTGGCTTCCGCACGGCACCTGTAGGTCTGCTCGAGGACGGACGCCGCGAGCTCCCAGGGTGCGGATCCAGCCAGGGCTCATGCCGCCGCTCCGGAAACCGTCCAGTACGCCCGAATCGCCCTCACCGCCATTAGCTTCTGCGGCCTGCGCAGAAGCGGCCGCAGTCTGGTGGTGAGGGCCTCCGCAGATGGGCGCCCCGTAGAGGACCATGCTCCGTATAACGCCAGCATAAAGCCGACGACATAGGGAGCTGGGTCCCCCCACGTTTGGCCCCTCACTAAACATATCCTGAAAAAACAACGGTTTCGTTCTAATTCGGTTTTCGGTGTAATGAAAATTAGAACAAACGTTATTACGGAAAAAAAAATCGAGTTCGTGATAGGTTACCATCGTTGACAGACAGAATTGTCTTTTATCATAAATTTTGCACAAACAAGTACAAAACTTTTATAACAGATAGCTAAATTCGCTTAGACATCTAAATTACGAACCAATAAATTTATTTTACGTTGCCCTCATTCGCACAGGCTTCATCGTTTCTGGGGAAATGTGTCAAGGATTCGCTCTGATCGCGTTACACTATTTTAGACCTTTTAGCGTGGTGTTAATAGGTTCGACATTAGGTAATAGCGTGAGCTTATTTGCCATTTGAGTCTATCAAGCAAAATTGAGTTCAACTGCATCGTTGAAAACGCAACTGTTTTTTTGGATCTAAATCTCGTATAGGTTTTTTTTTTATAGAAATCAACGTTCTCAGTCAGTCAATCTTTACAGGTCTCGTGGTCGCGGCTGATTGAGATGGCAAACTATAATAGTTTGTGAAATATTAATGCAATTCTCCACATGTTTCATTATTTATTTAATACATATCGAACAGGAAAAAACACAAAAAAAATTTTTAAAAAGAAAATACAAACAAAAAGTTCTAAATAGAAGAAATTTCTTCTTAAATACACATTAACTAAAAGAACGGGCTTACTTGAACAATAACACAAAGATTGTGCAAAACGAAAACTATATCATTTTTTTTATAATATTAAGTGACGGAACGGACAAGTCGTGCGCCTGATGGTAAACATCCATAGCGGTTGCAGTGCCACTCAGAGCCTTAAATCTCAAAGATCTGAGGGGCACTGCCACTGTGCCCGTCAGCCTCAGACACGTTTACAAGTCCCATGTGCCTATAATTTCACCATTATAATGAATATATATTTCATAATGCAAAATCGCAGATTTGGACGGAATGGCGGTTAAATATGTTTTTATAAACAAAAAAAATGCATTTGATCTCCATCACACCTTATGGAAGTGACAATGAGGTCGATAATGGAGCATGCACACCTAAATAATGCCTGTACGCTCTAGCCATGAAACGGCCCAAGTTGTATCAGTTACCGTACAATATAGTAACTAAAGTTATTAATTTAAATACTTTACAAACATATTTATTTCCGAAGAAATAGTTTTATTTCCAATGTGTAACAATCACGAAAACCTAGGAACTCGATACTGCTTTTTTTATTAAAAGTTTTTTGTTTAAAGTGGATTGTTTCAAACTTTGATGTTGCTTGTCGAATGACAATTACGGGCTTAATCAAGTTTGACACTTTATTGGAGGATTTAACGTGATTGAATGGAATACCCTCTTTTATCGAACTTTTTTTCATTTGTTTAATTTTACAATGCGTCCTTGTTCAATAATTTTAACTCTAAATTCCACTTGATTAGAGTCCGTCTTTTCAGTACATTTGAAAGTTAGTGTAGCGGCCGAAAAAAAATATTTTACATTTGCTTACAATCTTAATGGTTACACTTTTGTTGTGTTATAAATTCCAAATTTAACTTTTTTTTGTTTTTGGCACCTTTGTATAACATTATTTTGTAATTCTATCATTGTTTTTGACTAGGTTGTCTTGCTACTTTTGTACATGTACATTATGTGCACTTTGTGGGGTCTTCTTCACTCATTTTTACTTCCCAATTCACTAACATAATTTCCGTATAACGGAGCTCGAAAACCGCTCGGACTGACCGCGGGGACTTGCACTCCAACAATTCGCTGTTCGCGCTCTTGCGGTGACAACAAAATCGTTTTAGGTATCTTTTACCGAAAAATAATAATTTTCAGAGCGTAAACACTGATCAACAATAAAAGCTTGAAATTATTATAGCAACTGACAAATAAATTACACTATAATATAAGTAGCAGTACAATTGCGTATCTCTGGCAGAGATGGTAAACATCTCAAAAAGCGCACCTCCTTATATGCTTTGGGCGCTGAAAGCACCTCTAAAATTTATATTTTGTTACAACTTAAGATAACACCATTAAAGTAACGCGGTAAAAACCACAACAATTAAAAATGCACAAGAATATTTTAAGTAACATCGAATTAATATCCTATTGTTGGCCTCAAGTATTACCTAACACTAAGTAGGTATAGTATAAGTAAGCATCTAGGCATAATAATTCATGATACAGTACATTACAATAATATTAATAATGATTGTTATGTAGTCTCGTCGTAATAAATCCATCTTAAGTACTGGATAGATGTTAAGATCACATTTATCAATTTTATTTAATGAAACATTTATCTTTATTTATCATTTATTTTGTTTTTATTGATATTTACGTCGTTTGAGTGCTCATTAATTATTTTATTGATTATATGTATTAGATTTATTATTATGTATTAGACTGATTACATTTGGTAGCAATAGAGCTCCTTGTGAAAGAGTTCATCCAGGGAAGTACTGCCACCTTACCTATTTCTGCCGTCAAGCAGTAATGTCAGCATTAGTGTGTTCCGGTTTTGAAGAGTAATAAGGGTGCTGGTGAAATTGCAGGCACATAGGACTTGTCAACTTATGTCTGAGGGTGACGGTGCAGTGGCAGTGACCATCAGATCTTTATGTTTGAAAGCTCTGAGTGGCACTGTAACTGTTATGGACAGGCGTGCAACTTACCATCAGGCGTACGACTAGTTCGTCCCGTCACTTAATATTAAAAAAAATGTTATTGATTATGTTTTTATTTCGCGTAATTTTTGTTTTGTTGTGCACGTAAGCACATCTTAGGTATTACATTATGAAATATATATTCATTATAATATTATTGATATTGTTTTTGTTACACATCATTTTTGTTTTGTTGTGAGCGTCTTGTCACTTGATATTTAAAAAAAATGTATCTTTGAGAGTTAAAAATTACGTTTATTATCAACAAAATTCTGTGGCTCAAGATCGTACTACAGCTGATTACGAGGGAATGTTAGTGCAATGACGTGCCATTGTGTT